CGAGCGGGCACCTGCCCGCCCCCCGGCCCGCCCCGATCCCAGCTCACCCGCTGCGCGGAGCGGCCCCGGCCCCGGCCCCGCGGAGGCACCGCGGCTGAGCGCACGGCCGGAGCGGGCATGGGGAGCTCCTGGAGCTGGGGCGCCGTCAGGGGTGTGAGACAAGGAGAGGGGACGGGAGAGGGGAAAAATGATAAAAACGAAAAAAAAAAAAGACGAAAAGGGTGTTATTTCCAAATGGACTTTTGCGGCCTGCTTCTCCCCCCAAACCTATTACTGCGACGGACCCCTGGGACAGGGTGAGATTAATTGCTCCGTGTTATGAAGAAAATGATAGATGCCATTAATCAGCAAAGTTGTAAATCATCCACGTTTGTAGATGGAATTCAGAGATCAGCCTGGACAGATGGCAGGCAAACAGCACTCTCCAGGTCTGGCATAAATCACCCAACTTCTGGAATTATTAAACAGCCAATGGCAGAATCTCATACATTTTCTTAAAGAGAAGTGTTCCTTAGGAGGATGAATATTCACTTCATGTTATGAGAGTGTTTCCAATCGCTGTTACACTTCCCTTTCTAAATAATGAAAACAGTGGGTTTTCCTTCCTGGATGTCAGAAACTTCGAACTGAAAAAATAAACAAGACTTTTCACACAGATATCTTTCAGACATGGATAAGAAGCAAAGCCAGGCAAACAACACGAGTGCCCAAATCATTGCTTTAATGCACTTTCTGAAACTAACAGGCAAAGCTGTAAGATAATAGTTTTGTCCTGGTATCTCCAGTAGATAGGTCTTGCAGTAACTACTGCAACAAACCAATTCTTTTTTTTTTTTCCAAGTTTTGTGTTCATGCACTTTGAGGAAAGCAGTGAATCAATGATGCTTTTATTCACTACTTCTAAAACATTAGACATTCTGAGGAATCTAAATATTCCAAATGGAGAGAATACCTTTTTTCATTAGCCTTCCCTAATTTTTTTTTTTTTCACATAGCAAAAATGCGTTACAGTATGGTCAACTTCAATCAATCTTGCACGGTATCACATTGATTGATATGTCAAATGCTTGTCCAAATATAAGCTTAGCACCAATATCTATGACTGAGTAATTGTGAGCTTGATTGCATGTCCTGTAATAACATGATCAATCTACAGCGACATTCAGACTTTTGCAAAAACCTGCTCTATAAATTCAATAATAGCATCTATTCTATCACATAGAAGGGACCACAGTCCAAAACACATATTTTATAATAGTTATTAAAAAAATATTCAAATGTTAACTTCATGATATGTAAAGTAAATGTTTACCACTCTAACCAGTTTAATCTTTCAAAAATCCCCAAGAATGGAGGTTGTCTTTTCTGGAGAAACTGTTCAATTTTGACTACTGCTTATTGTAGAGAATGCTTTGTTTTTTCCTAATAAGTATTTCCCTTGCTGCAACTTGTGTCTGCTGCCGCTCATCTTTTCTCTGGGCACCTGAGAAGCGTGTGGTTCTGCCTTCCCTGTGAGCACTCTCTCAGTAGTTGAGGATGGCAATTAGATCCTCCACCTTGGCCTACTTTTCTCTAGACCTCTCAGAAATATCACTAACTGTTCACAGATTCACTACTCTATGGCTTTTTTCTAAATCTCACTGAATTTAATATTCTAAAAGTAAAACTCTTATGGGGGCTAGGGGGCATCCCATCTCTCATAGTATTAAAAATGGATGACTAAAAATGACTCATCCATCTTCTAAGAGAGATACGTATGATGAAACCTACACAAAACAGCATGGTCAAAGTAAAACTAACTCCTAAGTTCCTATTTGTATCAGAAAGAGCAAAGACTCAGGTCAAAGTCATGTATATCCCTTTTAGCCATACAAATAGGTGATACAGTAACTTTAAGGGTATCAGCAGCACCTATGAAGCAGACAGTTTTCTCAGGCCTTATGTAAAAAAACATTTAATACTGGATCATAAGTTTTTCCACCAACAGCAGTGACGTTTCCCTGAGATGCAGTTTCTTGGGCATATCTGAAAGCTAGTACACATCTTTATGCGTGGCTAGTGCTGAGATAGGTCATGAAGTGAAGCTGTTAGGGACAGTAGCTCAGAGGGAGGTTGAGAAAGGGAAAAAATGCCAAAAGGGGTAGCCTAGGTTGAAACTGTCTTCCCTTTTGTTCACACAAGCTCTGGATTGTCTGCCATCTCAGCAAAAGAGAAAACTAGAATTTCTAGCCATTGTATTAATCTTAAACTCTTTGAATTGTTTACCAGTATTCTCATTAATACTATTTGTATTTTAACTTATTTCTCCATTACATAAATCATGCACTCTTTGTCTCTGCATACATATATATATATATATATACACACACATATATATATCATCAAAAAATACATTTATAAGGTATATAATCTTAAGCATCTCTTGGATGCAGTCATTGTTTTAAAGAATCACCATTTCACATCAGGAACAAGCACGCAGGCATATCTGAAATGTAATATTCTGCTATAATGCAGAATCACCATCACATTCTAAACAACTCTAGCAGCCTTGCAAGGTGTGTTTGCAATTTGTTTTGTGTGTTTTTTTCAGGCCCTTTAGAGCAAATCAAAGATGAGAACTGAAAGGAAATTGTTTCAAGTCTTCTGGGAGACAGTCTTTAAAGAAACAACCAAAAAATATCTTCTTAAATCTGTTAAGAATTTTTGAAACCTTTCAGAGGATTTGTAATGATGCAAAAAATACAAGGGAAAAAAAAAAATCTTCCCTAAGGGACTTGACAAGAGAAAATACATGTTCATAGTCAAAGAGCTAAACAATTCAACAAACTGGAGTAGGAAAAGGAAGCTTTCACCTCAGTTCAGCAAAGCTGTGATAAATTGACTGATTTGATACTGGTTTACATATTCTATGCCTTATGTGACATTAATTAGTTATTTCAGTGGGTAAAAGTCTACCCAAGAAATTACCAGCACAGCAGACCCTAACTGGCATTCCTGTTCACAGGCTATGTAGAAAGCATTCATTTTCTAGCACCATGTGGACACAGACTGCACACACAACCATACCACTGATTACGCTGAAACGTTTAAGGCAAAAACAATAGTGAAGTGCAGACAAACTTACATTGCCCATGCCTAGGATGCAACTCAGCATTTACCTGCTCTTTTCTTAACCGCTGTCTTCTAGTCTTGTTTTAAAATGAGAAAGAACTCATCATTGAATAAATGTATTTTTCGTTCCTCCGTTTGAAATGTTACTCAACACAGTCAAAAATCTGTTAATTGCTTTTATTCAAGGACTATTCCTTACATGAATAGGCAATACACCAGTTTGAAGCCACTTCCTTGGTATTTCGGCCACACATCCTAAAGCAGAAAAAACAAAAACAAAACCCCTTAATTTTCCATCTATTTAGGGATACCTCTGTTTTTACCTCAGAAACATACCAGTTTTGGACCAGTCAGGATCAGGGCGACACGCGGAATCATGACAAATTCACTCAAGTTTGTTGAAGGGGGAGCATTGCCAAGAGCAAATGCCGCTGCACTGTGTGCAAGCTCCCAATTTATTACCACCTGTTTACATAGGTTCGTTTTTACTTTTACATCCTACTGACCTTCAGCTTTTGCCTGTTTACTGCTCACATGCTCACCACGCTCTGCAGGTGGTGTGCTTTACTGCTGTTTTTCCCACAACACAGTGTTCCGTAATGTTGCCTCAGTATACCCACAATCATTCTTCTAACGTCAAGGTCAGTTTACATTTTGCTAGCCACCAATTCTTGATTCCCACAGAAACATAACTGCTTTGTGTCATATCTGAAACATCCAAACTGGAAGACCTTACAACTGTTAGTTTTCCTAACAGATTTACATCTTTGGAAAGGCTTCTGCTGAAGAATTTTCTTTTCCTAGCACATCAATTGAATTGTTAACAGTGCATTTGTTCTACTAGAAATAGATTATAAAAAATATATTTGAATGGAAGCAGATTTTGGACAGTCTTGCTGAAATCCATTTTTCTGTGTATCCCCTAAAAACTGAACACTTGAAAGTACTGGAATATAAATTGCTCATTGAGAAAAGTTCTGCCATGCCATAAAGGCTTGCCTTTGAAGAACTGATATTTGACACAGGTTTTAAGAGATGTATCATGATATTTTATATCTACCACTAACTCCAGCAATACCATGAAGATCAGAGCAATAAAAACGTCCAGCTGTCAAGAAATCTGAAAAGCTTTGTAGGGAAAGGAGGAAAGCCTGGAGAGCACCTGGATGGAAAGGGGGAAAGAAGAGCCTAAAATCATACTGCCCAGAACAAGGACAGGCACAAGGGCAAAACAGCGATGGGGTGTGCAAAGTGACTGCTGGAAGCTGAGAATGACATTTATATAACTAAAGCATGAAAATGTTTTCAGGGCAGAACCAGCTAATTTTTTATTTTTTTAATCCACATGGGGATTTAGCTTCTCAGGTAAATTTATTTTGCCTAAGGCCTGCAAGCTCTGCTGTTAAAAGCTCTGTGCAACAAGTAGTGAAATTTTTATTCAGATCAATGAGGTTAATGGGACCATTCCAACACTTCACACCTGAGAGCTCTTGTGTATATACATATTTTTAGGTGATGTACCTAGTTCTTTATGAAATATTACTGTCATATTTTTAAACCATTAGAGAAATTTTATTAATTTCATGAAAAATTCAGTGTATATCTACAAAGGAATATATCCTTGATCATCTATATTCCAC